TTGCACAACTCAAGGAAGAAGTAAAAATTTGATTATTATCCATAATTGAAATAATAGGAATATATCTTATACCTAAAACTTTAATAATCAACATACATTGATTAAACCCAAATAGAAAGAAACATTTTTTCTCTCTTCCCAACCAACATGAATCTTCATTAGTATCATCCAACCTTGACCTTATATAATTAGCATACTATAACTATATATATATATATATGATGTATACACGATAACAACTACTCGATGTCAACATAACATTCAGTTTAAAATGTTACAAAAAAAATATAACGGATGATTAATAGACAGTAATAATTCTAGTAAATCTCTTTAATGTCAGAAGGGGTTTTGTGAAGATTTTAGTAATTTCAAATAGTTGAAATCATGAGTTAATTGAAGCTAGACCACCATGAAAAACCTGGAAGCACTGGATGGCCGTTTCGTTTTATTAGTACGAATTATCCCATTGTTCATAATTTGACTAAAATGCAATCATTTCTAGTTGGTATATATGTATCCTTTTATAAACAAAGATGGATAGTAGCTAGCAGTGTAATCCAGGACGTGCGTTTCATCCTATTTGTGACTCGTCAGCTGGATGTATCTGCATAGCGTAGTTGATGTCCACTCTGGGACTCGAACCCATTGCCATCAATTGCAGTCTTAAAAACCTCAATGGGAAGATACAAGCAAAACAATACTAAGTGAATATGTATCCTTTGCTGATTACCTCGATTGAGTCATTTAGTTATAATAAATGTTAGTAAATAATAAATGGAATGTATCTAGCGACGCGTTTTATCCTAACTGGTACTCGTCAGTTGTATGTATGCGCATCTTAAATTATGGGCAATTCATTTCATAAAATAATGTATAGATGTATCATATTATATATGATTTTCACTTTTTCAGAATTAATGTGTGTTTTCCGCTATATGTAAAAACATTTATTATGTCATTAGGATTAAAAATTATTACGTTTTCTTTAAGTTTAGAAGTGAATTAATTGACTTAAATGAATAGATATTCAGTAGTTGAGATCATGAGTCAATTGAAGCTAGACCACCATGAAAAACCTGGAAGCACTGGATGGCCGTTTCGTCTTATTATAATACTCCTTCGAAGTGCGTATCTACGACCCCGCCTCGCGAGATTCAAACCCAGGACATATCAGTCTCGCTCATGAGTAGTGTTTAATGTCACGTGAGGCCTTTCTTTAGTGTTAATTGAATACTATTGATCACGTTCCAATGTAGCCACTGGTATAAGTGACTTAAGATCGTTTGTACTTTGTTGAGATGCAAAGTAGTGGTTGAAGGTAGTTGACAAAAAACTCTGAACGTTGTTTATGATGAGCTCACACAGAAATCATTTTATTAGTGATCCATTGAATAATGGACGAGCTGGTGAAGTAAGAATATTTAAGAATATTTAACTAATTTTAAGCACAAATTCTTTATATCGATGGTTTCCCTATAATTTCATTTCCTCCATCTTTTAGGGAGTTTATTAACAGAGACTTTATAAGAAATAATAAATTTTCTACAAAACTAGTTATTTGTGAGAAACATTCAAAAGGAAACCATCAACTCACATTAATGTTGTTATTCGGTGATATTTCCATAGATGTAAGATCTGAAAACCGATAATCTACCTTAGGAAAACAGTAAGCTTCCTATAATCACTAAACTTTAACAGGATTGATTGGTTCTGTTTGGAAATAATTTGGATTTATACAAACGTTCTACTGACTTGTTGAAATAAGGCTTTAAAATCGCTTAGACATCTCAGAAATCACTCATGCTGGTCTCTATATCATACTTTTATTATATACACTAAAATGTAAACCGATTATTTCTTGAACATTCCCTATCCTATAAGTGGATTGCTAATAGGAAATAAAAGCACTTAATGAGTCCCCTATATGCATTTCAAAACACTTATATTATAAATATGAAAGCGAATTCCCTGTCAAAGCTCAAATTTAGCTGTATGAGTCCTGATGGAGACTTGACAGATGACATCGACCTATTAAAAGTGATAAACAAACCAACTTATACAAAACTATATTATCATTGGCACCATTGTGTTATTATTATTGTGACTGTTAGAGATCGGATGCACAACGCAGTGGTGAAAGTAGTACTTCGTTAAGCTTGCGAAACCTGCCTTTGCATCCTTTCTTCCTTACCTTAATTCCTCACAATCTGATTTCTTTATTTGCATACTTACTTACGCCTGTTACTACCAATGGAGCATAGGCCACCGACCAGCATTCTCCAACCCACTCTGTCCTGAGCCTTCTTTTCTAGTCCCATCCAATTCTTGTTCATTCTTCTCATGTCTATCTCCATTTCCTGGCGTACTGTGTTCTTTGGTCTTCCTCTCCTCCTTCGACCTTGAGGATTCCATGTGAGGGCTTGTCTTGTGACGCAGTTCGGTGCTTTCCTCAGTGTGTGTCCTATTCACTTCCAGCTCTTCTTCCTGATTTCTTCCTCCTCTGGGATCTGGTTTGCTCTCTCCCACAGTAGGTTGTTGTTGAAAGTGTCCGGCCAACTGATCTTAAGTATTATGCGTAGACAACTGTTAATAAACACTTGTATCTTCTGGATGGTGGCTTTCGTAGTTCTCCAGGTTTCCGCCCCATACAGTAGAACTGTCTTCACATTTGTATTGAAAATTGTGACCTTGATGTTGGTTGCCAATTGTTTTGAGTTCCAGATGTTCTTCAGTTGTAGATATGCTGCTCTTGTTTTTCTGATCCGCGCCTTCACATCTGCATCAGATCCACCGTGTTCATCGATGATGCTGCCCAAATATGTAAAGGTTTTTACATCTTCCAAAGCTTCTCCGTCAATTGTGATTGGATTGGTGCATGCTGTGTTGTATCGGAGAATCTTGTTTTTCCCTTTGTGTATATTGAGACCTACTGCTACTGACGCTGCTTCTACAATGGTCGTCTTCTCCTGCATTTGGTGTTGCGTTTGCGATAGAAGAGCCAGATCATCCAATTGCATCCTAGACGTCCACTGTATCCCGTGCTTACCTTCAGATGTTGATGTGTTCATTATCCAGTCGATCACCAGGAAAAATAAAAAGGGTGAGAGTAAGCAACCTTGCCTGACACCGGTCTTTACTTCGAACGACTTTGTCAACTGTCCTCCATGAACGATTTTGCAGTTTATTCCATCATAGGAATTCTGTATGATGTTGACTATCTTTCGAGGCACGCCGTAGTGTCGAAGAAGCTTCCATAGTGTTGTCCTGTCCACGCTATCAAATGCTTTTTTGTAGTCAATGAAGTTGATGAACAGTGATGAATTCCATTCAATCGATTGTTTCACAATTGATCCGTAGAGTTGCGATTTGGTATGTACATGATCTATCCTTACGGAATCCTGCCTGCTGGTCTCGAAGTTGGGCGTCTACGGAGTCCTTCATCCTGTTTAACAATACTCTGTTGAAGACTTTTCCTGGTATTGAGAAAAGAGTGATGCCCCTATAGTTATCACAGTTGCTGAGATCGCCTTTCCTTGGTATTTTGACCAGAAGTCCTTCTTTCGAGTCTTTTGGTACTTGTTCCTCATCCCAAACCTTATTGAAGAGTATGTGGAGTATCCTTGAAGTCACCGATACGTCTTTATTTGCATGATGCATACTTTTTCTGAGACTCAATTGTACCGAAATCTATGCATATCAAGTATCTAAATAAATAGTAAATCAGCAACCAATATTGAATTTTTTGAAATACAACCGTAACATTACTATTTTTGTTTTTTGAATATTGAAACTATTCAAGTGAAAATTTTGAGTCTAAACTAACCGCTACACTTGTATGGAACTAGATTTTTTTCGTTGTCTTTCGTTTTAAAACTAACATCGTTACATAGTTAGATTAGTATAATGAATCCAACTATCAATAACTTTATGAATTATAGCAATGTATGTTTAGTTAGGATACTAGTTATTCTTTCTTATTTATCTGATATCTTTTCACCTCTGCGATACTAAAGTTGTGAGAAATAGAATAGTGTCGCACATGTTAACCTGTTATCGTGCCGAAATAACCAAAACCCATTTAGAGGAAAGCAGAATCACTGTATACTAAATTTATATTGAGATATCTCATAGTAACGGATAGGAATTTTGGAATCTTAACAGCTCGATACTGTATACGCTATGTGGACATATTACGTGATCGGGGATAGTCGTCAAGAAACCTTGTATCTATGAATTATGCTGGTTGGAATTTGCCAGTAAACACTATCTTTGATCTTATTGAAAGGAGCATTACTGTCTATGAGATTCGAACCAGCTTCAATAAGCTTCATCTAACATCTAATCTCTAGTTTATATACAAAAACTAATATATTTGATAAGGAATTTGGCATCTGATATTTGATATAGGAATATTTCCAGATTTTTGTACATACTGTATACAACGTTGAAAGCGCTTTCAAGTGAATAAATTATCTAAGAATTATCATCCAATGTTTAGAAATTTTGAAAGTTAAATTGTGATTCAATGGTTGAAAGGTATAGTTCTATCCGTTAGACTTGAATTTTATACATTTTGAAAATATATGTGCACACATTATTTAAGCGTATTGAACTAAGATAAAATAGTTTTGCACCGATTACTGGTTCTTCTAATAGTTTATTACCTAACAACAGTACTCATTAGTTACTATCTGTAATCAAATTGACTCAATATCTTTAGTGATAAATTTTGTTTGAGTCCTAAAAATATTAATGATAAAGATTAAAATAATCTTTTCGCTATGAACAGTACTATACACCATAGAATTAGTTAGCCGGTCAAAGAAATAGAAAATAACTCAATTTGTCTATAAATCCGAAAATTCATTTATTTATTTGTTGAGGTAAGTATCCACACATGCACACACACACACACACAAGTCTACATATACATACATGCGTATATGTATGCAAGTGAGTAGTGTTTGGAAAACAACTAGTAATATTTCATTTTTATTATTAAAATTCAATCGAAGGTGAACTGTAATTAAAAGGAAAACGTAAAACGAGTTCAAGGCGAACGACAACATGGAGGTGGTTGTGAAGACAAGGAAAAAAAACCCGGTAAATCCAAACGGTAATTGTGATATAATTTTAAAAATGATTTTTGGAATAGAGGGAAAAAGACCATATGTGAGAAAGCAAAACAGGTAAATCATTATCTCTGTGTATATGAAAAGTAGACAAAAAAACACCAATCATATTACCATTTAATAGATGTCTCATTTACTAAAAACAGAGTAAACAGATGAGTACATTTTAAAAAAAAAAGTACTCATTTGTAATTTTGATTTATCAGCAAGAGAACAGCAGTAATTGTAGTTTTAGTGTAATCGAAAGATGAGAAAGAAAACACAAAATGGAACAAAGTAGAAAAATGTGTCACCAAACTAATTGGAAGCTACAATCAGGTGCAGTACATGTTGAAGGAAAAAAAAAGACAATATAGTAAAATATATTTATGAAGTATTTTATTAGGAAACTCATTGACTCATTGAAATATCGAAACCCGATACAAACGCGCGCACACACAATTGTGTACCCAGGTTCCTTCTATTGAATATAAAGTAGTAGAATAGAAAAAAAACTACACGGTCACAGGAGGGGAAATATTTACTTGATATTAACAACATTGGAAGTGATCAGGGATGGCGGATGTATGATGTAACTATTACTAATGTGTAGACATCAGTCGAATTCGACAGAGTAAAAAAAAAAGAGAATCGAAAAAATCAAGGGTTGTAAACAATAAAAACGAAACAAAAGTTAATCTGATCATATACAAGTTCAATTACATATATATGTAGTAACAAGTAGTTGTATACTAGAAAAAGAGGTTAATCATAATGCATCATTCTTCATTACGTTATATATATATATATATATATATATATATATATATATATATATATATATTGCCAGTTTCATTCTGTTATCGTTTCAAATTTCATTTTGATCGTTCTCTCTGTATGTGTATGTTAGTTCTTTATTTGGTTTATGTTATCAATATGTCACTTGTAAAATAAGCAGATAGTAATGATATTGAGGAAATAGGAGATAAATCAAAAATGTAAATGAGTAAAATGGAGCAATTTTAATATTAGTACCAATTAAAATGAATAAATAACATGAAAAAAAGGAGAATTATTGTTATCATCATTATGCTTACATTCCGTTGTGTAACATAGAAAATGAAGATACTTCTAATTCGAATCACAATGTTATCCTACATATTTGACGATACACACAAAGATACACAGAAAGAAAAAGAGAGAGCGAGAGGAAAAAAGACATCACCAACCTCAATAACCGGTAGTATATATGCAGTGACAACAAGTATGCAAAAACTGAAGATATTAGGTCATGATGAGAGTTGGACACTAAGATCATAATAATGAAGAAAACAAATCATGATTGTGGTAAGCACGAAAAGCAAAAGAAAATCTATGTACGTTCACATTAGCATATACACATACATACAAAAGGACAAGTGAGTCATGTGAATTTTCATTTAAAAAGTGTAAATGACACTGTACAAATCAAGAAAAACAGGGGATACTTTGCTAACCTGGATGTATATGGATATATGTTAAAAATTGATGGACAACTTGAGTGTCAGTAATTTAAAACATAAACAGTAAACATAGTAATATAACAGAAGAAAATATTTTTAAAAAAAGGAGATCGAGAATTAAAGAGAATACATAGAGAAATGGACGATTTTTAGTCTATCTAATTAAATAGCTTGAAAAAATAATCGGACAAAAAAGATTAGTGAAAACATACATCCAAACACAAACATACACTCATATACAAATCATAAATGAAAGGTGACTAAACAGGAACACTTGGAAACTGTTACCATATGCATTTTAATTAATACTGAACAAATTGAGGATACGGATAATAATAATAATCATCATCATTGTCAACATGTTATCAAAATAAAAGTAAACCAATCAATAATGGAGACAAAAATAAAATTGAACAAAATATTAATCACCAACAACAGTTACAACAATAATCAACCCAATATTCCTATATATCCCATATTCTAAGAAAATAATAATCATAATAATTCAATAGCAACTTTTTCCCTCCACCTAATTACCACTTTCGTAAAATCAAAAAAAAAAAAAAAAGATTTCAAACATGAAAAATAATTGATTCATGTGTACTTCTTCTACATTCTTTGTTTAGTTGGGATTTTTCGCTTAGTTATTGTGTAATTCTTGTTTTAAATTAATGTAGACCATGATTTTGTAAGATATTATTATTATAAAATGTGCATGTGTAGAAATAATAAACAAGACCAAACAAAAAATCTAATTTTGTTTAGAAATTTAGAAAAAAAGATAAGCGGCATCAATCCTGTTAAAAATGGAAGAAAACGCATTAATTACAAAGAAAAAAACAAAACGGAAATTCCACGCCAAATTTGAAGGCAAACACGACACATGCCCAGGCACACATAGACACACACACAGGGCAGAGACATCAAGAGACAAGTAAACACAACAGGCAAACAAAGAAACAATAGATGAGCACTTCATTATTATTCTCATAGATCATAAATTTGTTGATCACTTAATAGTTATCTACCTTAAAAATGAAAATAACAGTTGACAGGTCGATTACTGCGCGCGCGAGAGAAACAAAGAGAGAATAACCAACCATGAGATCGGAGAAAGATAGATCAATAGAAAAAGAAACGAAGCTTATAAGAAATAGCAAAATCTAAAAAGGTTTATTTGACCGCGTTTTGGTATGTTCTGTGTATAATTTCATTTTTTATCAGAACATAAATTGGATAGTTTTTTGGTCCTCATATATAAGTATAAATTTCTTTTGACATAAGTGCATACATTACTATTATTATTACCAAGAAAGTAGTATATATTTACAGTGTTCGGTTAATTAATCATCCACACACTATGACTATTATGTCACTATATTTCCATGTGAATGTCCATTTTCAAATATCTTTCAGTTAGGAGTGAAGAGAAGCGGTGGCAAACATGTAATACTATTATATTGATGATTTTATGTTGAAATTCAAAACCCCCACCCCCAAAAAATACACGTAGAGGAAATGTACACAAAATAATCGAGAGGGAGAGAGAGATCAACACAAATGAGGAAAGAAACAAAGAGAAAAGTCACCATGATTATTAAACGGACAAACAACAGTAACAACAACTGACCAAAGGGAAAAATACAACAACACAACCAACCAAAAAGAAAAATAAAGGAAATGAATTGCATAATATCTAAATATATGTATATTCATAGATTATATATCTTTTTGATTATTTGTTTAGATAGTTAGTTGTAAAATATGCATTTTCAGATCAAGTCATGATAGACATGGATAGATTGAATGTTCCTACGGAAGCACTGGTGATTATAGTTTGTCATTTCTTGATTTATTAGGTGTTATTGTCCTTATAATTGTTCTGCTTTGTAATGTTGAACTACCGCTACTACTACTACTACCAATAGTGGTAGTACTAGGAGTTTTAGTAGTATTGCTTAAATCATTTTTATTTGATTTTGTTGAATCAGCAGAACTAGTCGATTGGTTGGGATCATTTGATGTGTTAATTGTATCAAGTTGATTAGTCAATTTTGTTGATTTGAGATCATTAACAGTATTGATTTGTTGTTTGAGCTTTCTTTTATCATTTTTGGCTTCAGTATCATCATCACCGACATTATCGTCATCAGATGAGTGTTCTTCACAAATCGATGGTGGTCTTGGCATTGATTTTTGTGAGCTAACTGTAAGTAGAGAATCATTATCATCGTCTACAATCGGCTCACGATTAATGATAATATGTGAATCAGACAATTTAATTTCTTCTTCATCATTTGTATTAATTGATGTTGTGGAAGAATATGGCCAACATCGTTTAGAATTCATATCTAAATGTGGTGGCATTCGTTCATTGACTTTGTCAAATGCTTTTGCTTCTTCAAAACATTGAATTTTATGTGGTGTCCATGTTCCAGAAACAGCTATGATGTAAAAAAAATATATAGATGTTAGGGATCACGATTGTGAAAATTAGAACAACACATATAAGTGAACAATAGTGTTTATCAATAAGAATTTACTTTTATATAATTAAATATTTATATGGAAAGATTAAACCAAGTAAGGCAATATTTGTAGGAGACTGGATCGAACCCCATTAGGAAATGACGAAAGTATACAATAGATCATTCGAAATGATTTGGCTTTATCTACCATATGATGACTGTCAACTAGGTGTCCCAAAATGTAGCCGCGTATTGTCCTTTTCTGGCCCTCTACAAACCTAAATCAAAAATGATCACTCATTCGTTAATTAAGTTACATGATAGTACGGTCAATATAACTTTCTCTTCAAGAACAGCGGGATACGTAAATGCATATCGAAGAGCGAAACTCAGGTAAATTATTCTTTGTTTCAGTAGATTTCAATTGTTTACTACAAAATGTCAATGCGAAATCAGCTTCGCAGGATGTCCTAATAAACTGCTTTTGTTAATTTGTCGTTCGAGACATGATTAGCTACAGACATGTTGAATTTTAGTTTTAAGAATAGGGGGTTACTCATGGGTGGTTAAGATCTCTAACTCATTTTTCCCCACATACGTGTACACCTTTAAGAAAACTTCCGAGGTAGCCCCATCTCTGTCATTATATATATTATCAATAAACTCCTTTATAGTAACATCTGAGCAGTGTGCATTGATGATCGAAGCTATCGAGGATCGAACCCAGGACACTGAGTTCTAATAAAGAGTCAAATGAGGTGACATTCAATGGTGTAAATACTTAGTTTCTATTTAAAAAGTCACCAGTGTATAAGCAAAGGAATTTCTTATCTAATACAATTAAGCCTCTTATATAGATTTTGATAAATGTAACAAGAGGACAGAGATTATTAAAATAAAACAACAAATTAAATTAGAATAGACCCCTTTAGTGAAAATTACTCCAAATGGAATACAGATTTCATCACTAATTTGATATCATCTTAGTGAACTGTTGAAAACTAGGGAATACAAGACAATTGTTTTATTTGCTTTTTTTCCACTCTACAGAAATACGTACATAAGATTCGTTGAAATAATGAATCTAATATTTTTCATTTTCCAGTTCAGTCAATTTACCGATAATAAAGAAAAAATCACTGTCCGCCCAACAGTTATATCGATTTTACTTCAATTATGCACGTGATTTCAACTCTAAGCAATTAATGTAATGTTATTAAAATCAATAATCGAAGTCACACATAACTCATTATTAACAGTTCCAAGCAAAAAAAAAACATACGAATCGATAGGATGAAAAAATTTTATGAAGGTTTTTACTTATTGTTCCCATGAATTAAAGCGTTTGATAAATTGAACGATCAAGATACTGACTTTCTAGCTAAATCGTAAACTTCTACAATCTACCACATTTGAACCTCAAATGTAAACAGAAAGCAGAGATATGAATGAATTTTTACTCTCAAGGTTGGTTTATATACAGAAAATAAGGGGTATTTGTAAGGCTACAGATGGCATCGAAATTCAGTAATCCGTTAAAATGTTTGATAATTGTCCAATCAGATTACAGTAAAGCATAATGAGTTGTTTTTCATGAGTCAATTGAAGCTAAACCATCATGGAAAACCTGGAAGCATGAAACGGCCGTCCAGTGCTTCCAAGTTTTCTATAATGGTCTAGCCTCAATCGACTCATGACCTCAACTATTAAAATTACCATAATGAGTTACTTTCTGGATATTTCCTTAGAAGATGCCGAGACTCTTAATTGGCCAAAGTACTTTACTATTTCGAATTATTATTATAGGTATTATAGGTAGATATTATAGAAAAATTTTCATTTACATAGGATACCTTTCGATTTCACTGTATTTCAACCAATAGTAGAACAATTTCTTCAGAAGTTTCAAGTCATATACATTAATCGGATTCTATAAATTTGAATGTTTTTCATTAACTAAACGTAAATTTATAAACATGACTTATACACTATAATAGTGACATGTTACAATCACTGATCCTATAGAAATGGCAAGAGTAAAAATTTTCACCCAGTGTTACAATAGATTCAATTAAAATATTTGATTATACCATTGAACCATGTGTCCTGATATTTGATTAAATATGAATAATAATACTCCACAATCAATAGGTTAGTCTATTTATCTGGTCAATGAGATTGGAACAATTTAACAAGCTTATGAAAGCATGTAAATAATGTATATACATATATGTATTTATTTCAAGGGGAAAATAATTTTCCACTAGGCTAATCTCTATTTTTCTCCTTAAAACATTGACAGAAAATGAAATTAATATGATAATGTAATCAATATGTTCTATGAGAGAGAGAGAGAGAAAGAGAAAGACAGAAAGTACATAAAGGAATTAGATTAGTAATTATGTATGTCTTCATTCATTTCCATTTATTTGTGTATATAATTACGTTTACATCACATATTCAATTTATCTTTCTAATCTGACCTTAATATTTAAAAAAAAAATTAGTAGAAACAAATAAAATCTAGAATCATGATCACCAACAACTATTTGTTTTAATAAAAAAGAAAAGTAGACAGACAATACTCTGAAGTTAAATAAAAAGTTTCAACTGTTTACTTTCCAAAACAAACAAACGGACAGATAAACAAACGAGAATTAACTAGTTAATCAACCTAAACAACTTATCTATCTATCTATCTATTTAACAATATTCATTTAATTGAAATCATGAACCGATTGATGTTAGACCACCATCGAAAACCTGGAAGTATTGAACGATCATTTCGTCCTATTGTGGGACTCCTCAGCAGTGTGTATCCACGATCCCATTCACAGGATTCGAACCCAGGGCCTTCAACCTCGCTTGTATTAAAAATAACTCAATTGTAGTTGATCAGTTGTTGAAGTTTTACAAAGAATTTGTACAAAACAATGCATTTGTTTTTACAACTCATTTCTCTTCAACCGATGGAAAAGGGCCTTCATTTAGTAGTTACTCATAGACCAATTTTATTTTTTGATTGAGATCATGAACCGATTGATGTTAGACCACAGTTGGAAACCTGGAAGCACTGGACGACCGTTTCGTCCTATTGTGGGGCCTCTCAGCAGTGCACATACATGATCCCGCTCGCGGGACTCGAAACCAAGGCCCTCAGCCTGGCGCACGAACGCTTAACCCACTGGACCACTGAGTCGGCATCCAATTATGTTAGTGTCTAAGCGTCCGCGCGCGAAACTGAGGGCCTTGGGTTCGAATCCCGCGAGGCGGAATCATGTATGTGCACTGCTGAGAGGCCCCACAATAGGACGAAACGGTCGTCCAGTGCTTCCAGGTTTCCAACGGTGGTCTAACATTAATCAGTTCATGATCTCAATTCAAAACTTAATAATTTCCACAACTCCTATACTGAAAATTTTGTTTTTTTATTTCAAAAATCTTCAGAATCATTATCTTATATTTTCGTTTTTATATACATGTTCTCCAATTTGGAAAGCTATTTCATCAAGGCCACGGTTAAACAAAGTGCACATTTCGTTTTTAGATTGTATTCTACAATTCAGTTATGAAATTTACTTACTATAAACAGATTACATTATCAAGGGATTACATGCGAAGGTAATTTAAAAACTGCTCAGTTGGTCGGTCGACGATAACCGAGCTGACTGAAACATGTTCAATTTTTATGCTACACAGTCGTTTATTGGTATCAACGTAGGATGAAACCATTGTTTGGTCTTTCCTGACTTACAATGATTTACCGACTTATGTCAGTTGGTGACGAAGACGATCTGAAAACTATTAGATTTTTATGCAAGCAATAAGAATCATTAAATGCTAACTAAAAACTAACTTTAATAGATATTTCTTGGAGTATTACTGAGGTGTGACCTTTGGAGTTTAACTATGTCAAAAGTGTAATATCTAGAACTAACTGAAATTAGAAATATACGCTACCAGTTACCACCTCAATAATCTGAAGGTTAAGTGGAAGCTGCACAACTTGAAGGTTTTGGATTCGATCCCCAATGAGTGCGGTCGTGGATGCATATATATATATATATATATATATATATATATATATATATATATATGTTCTAGCGCACTACAACATTTATGTAACAGCCATTAAGATAATGAAAAATAAAGAAAAGCAGGAAAGAGGAAAGAGAAGGGAGTAAAAAATCAACAGTTCGGTCACTAGGACAAATCTATCATAATTGATAATATATAGAAGTGGACGTATTATAATGTCAAGAAATTGGTTACATTGATAATGTATAACTTCCTGGTATTTGCATGTCCACACATTGATATACAAACATACACATCTGAAAACAAGTATTTATAAATTATATATAAATACATATACATACATATATGTATTAATACATACATACACTCTCCACTTGAACTTAGGAACAATTGACTCTCTGATGATTTAATTATTAGATCAATAAAAAGCATAAGGATAATATGTGTGGAATAGGAAGAAGAAGAAGAAGAAGAGGAAATAGAACAGCAAATAAATAAATAAGTAAATATTCAAAGTAGACCACACACACACATGTACACGCACACTCCATATTTATTGTATTGTGTGTGCTACTTCTACAGACAAATGTAAGTAATATGTAGTAAGGATTGGAAGTACAATTCTTACTGGCAGAAGAAGAAAATGAGAACGACAAAACAAAAAGTAAGCAGAGTAATAACAGAAATGGAAAAACGACAGAGTTCTTGATTAAATGTACAAAGATAGATAGATAGAGAGAGAGAGAGAGCGAGAAAAAACAACAACAGAAATTTCATTTATTCAGATGTCAAATGTACTAATCTTGAATATGTAATGAATAAATGTTTTTTATTATATGACAATTACGTAGATAATCTAATAGTGAATTAAACACTAATGATTCCTCATTCAGAATGTTATGAGAAACTTTATAATCATCATTAATATTACAAGATAAGTTATATGATTCTGTATAAATGAAAATAAGTAGGTTGAAGAGTAAAATCTCTCCCCCCCCCAAAGAAAAACAACAACATTGAAATGTGAATCCAATTCATATAACTTTAAAAAAGATTGTACGAATTTCGGGCTATTGACAATTAACAGAAATCAGTAATATAATTGAGGCCGTACGTCGATGTAGAGAAACCTAAGTTTATTTAAATGATTTTTTTTTGAAAAAAAAATGCTTGAAAATGTAATCGTTTGTATATTTTTTGATATCAACATAGAAACTAACAGAAATATATTGATTTATCGAGTTTACCCTTACAGGGACTGATTATTCAGGCGTATTTTAAGTGTTTATGGGCTTTTTTGACATTTCTTCATAAAATCATTGACTCTGGGATCACATATGTATATATATTCGTAATGCAGTAAGGATTGAGTGTTTTGACTTTAAATCCTATTTTTAAAACTGTGAGCGTATCTTAATCTGTAGTCATTATCATGATTAATATCTTTAGAGCTTGTGGCAAAATGATTCGTATAATTCAGCAAATATATCCGCAATTTCACGTAACAAAATCACTTAACTATGAAGTGATAAATAAGGCAAATTTTAACATCCTTTACACGTAAGCCACACCGATGAGCCTCGACTAGCACGAAACTCACGTCGAATAAAGTTTCAAAACGACTACCTCCAACCAACCAACATCACAGACTCCAAATACCCTGGTACGATCAAGGGTGGAGATGGTCTGCTCTTCTTGTTGAAATGCTCTTATATGGCCGTGCGTGTATAGCCAATGTCACGAAAATTTTACTTATTGACTTCTCGTAGCAAGGGTGTTATTTACACAATTGAGCGAATGTCCATCGGGGGCTTAAACAGAGTCACTTACCCACTTCTGTTACCCCTCGTGGAAGAGCATAAACCGACCACTAGCATTCTCTATCTAACTCTATTCCTTCCATTTATTTTCAGTTGCTATTCATCTTTTCATATCTGCTTCCGATTCCCGACGCAGTGTGTTCTTTGGTCTTCCTCTTTTCCGTTTCCTTTCAGGATTACAAGTTGGGGCTTACCTTGTGGTGCAGTTTGGTGATTGCCTAACTGTGTGTCCTCTCCACTTCTAACGTCTCTTTCTAACTTCCCTTTCAGTCGGAAGTTGGGGTGTTCTCTTTCACAGGAGGCTGTTGCTAATGGTATCCGGCTAACGTATATTCGATATCTTCCATACAAAATTGTTTAAAAATACGTGTACCTTTTTGATGATGGTTGTAGTAGTTCTCCAGGTATCAGCTCCGTACGGCAGAACTGTCTTGACGTTCGTATTTAAGATTCTGACTTTGATGTTGGTTGACAGTTGTTTTGAGTTTCATATATTCTTTAATTGTAGGAATGTGGTCCTTGCTTTGCCAATCCTTGCCTTTATGTCTGCATCAAATCCTTCTCGTTTATCGATGATGCTGCCTAGATACATGAAAGATACCACCTCTTCTAGAGCTTCCTTATCAAGTGTGATTGGGCTGGTGTTCTCTGTGTTGTATTTCAGGATCATGGCTTTATCCTTTGTATAGGTCGAGGCCTAATGATGCATAGGTTTCTACCACACCAGTTGTCTTCACCTGCATTTGTTCGTGTGTATGGGATAGAAAGACTAGGTCTTCTACAAAGTTCAAATCGTCCAGCTCTATAAAAGCTGTTCATTGCATTCCGTGCTTCCCCTTCAGATATTGAGGTCTTCATAATTCAGTCAACCACCAGAAGGGAAAGAGAGAGAGTAAGCAGCCTTGTCTGACTCCTGTCCTCACTTGAAATGCATTTGTCAGCCGTCCCCTGTGCACCACTTTGCAGAGTGGGTACGAAAGATCTACCTCGGGGAGTTGGAAGATCCTGATTTCAATTCAGTGATCTACATGGGCTCCAGGATAATGACTATTTTGCGACACATGTATAATGTGGTTTCTCTTTTGTGCCACTACTTATGTGTTCAAATAAATCAATGAGCTAATATCAAGAAACAGTGCGCATGATTTCGGGTCTCATAGACTGAAGGTGACCACACTGTAACTAGGTCGATAGGATTCTACCAGCACTTAAAAGGACTATATAAACGTGACATTAGTCACTACTCAACGGTCAATCAATAATGATATTCGTTAGGAGTGAGAAAAATCAATAAGGAGAAGAATACATACAAAGTACAACAGTGAAAAAATTAGACATTAATGCTTAAATTATATAAAAGGAAAGGTTTGAATGTAAAAAAGACCGGATTAACTTTGTTCTTTCCTTCTGAACACTATTTGTTCCTATCTTCTCTAGAACTCTTCTCTTTTTTATTCCTCATTACTTCCATAAAATGTTATGTATTTTTATGGGCTGTATTCGCTAGAGGTTGGTCTCGCTCAATGTTCCAGTATGAGATTCCCCAAGAGTTGGCATCTATGATTCCATCAGAGATTGAATACATGTCATTCAAATATGATAAAGTGTGATTTAATTTATCACATTTATCAATCGATTGTTGTTTATTTATTTGTCTATTTATTCGTTTGTCCTTTTTAATAACAATGAAAGTATATAACACATTGTTGACCAGGAACAGAATATAACAAGTTTTAATCAATTTCCCATGAAGGAACATACATTAAAGTAAAACAAAACACAAACACAAAAAGTCCCGAATATTTTGCGTTTTGTCGTTGTTATTATCTTTGTTATTCCTGGTGTTATTGTTATAATTGTTTGTCTTGCCCTCGCGTTATGTTTATATCTTCCTAACTAACTATCTGTAAACATCGAACGCCGTATGGCATCTTCTCTACAGACTTTCAGACAATGGTAGAAACAATTCAAACATAAATCCCGATCCATACACACATGCACACAAACACTTATACGCAAATGTTAAAAACAGAGGAATAGAATGACATAGAATAGAACAAACTGAACTAGATTATAAATAAGTGAACAAAAACTACGTTTAGGGATTGAATCTAATTGGATCAATATAACAACCCGAAAAAAATCCATTAACTACTATCCGGATATATATATATATATATATATATATATAAGCTTAATTTCTAAGGGAATGAAACAATACATATATGATTATTTGAACGTGTAGAACGAAGTCATAAAAGATAGAGATGAATTGTGTCAGGTATGAGGCAGTTACCCTCCATTTATTTGGAAGATTAAAGGTCGTGGATTCGATTCCGCATGTAGGGTCGTGGATGAGCACTGGTTAGTAGTAGGACAAAATGGCGTCCAATCATTCCAGGTTTTCAACGATGATCTATCTTAGATCGACTCGCGAATTCAACAGTGAGAATTAAAGTATGACCCAGTACTAAATAACTAATCATTTATTAGCTTTACGCTAATTTCATTCATCAACCAAGTGTGTAAATGACACAGATTCCAATCTCACGTGAAGTACCGATTCTTTCAGATCACAAGTCCTTCTTTTTGGCAAGTGCTAAACATAAGTCAAATAGGGGTTCCAGTTAATTACCTGTAACAACCTAGTAGGTTGATGTACGTATGGCTTGAAGCTACACTTTGTACATGTGTACAGGTAAATGAAACAAGTACCGTAACAAACTGAGTAGAGACGTAAAATGCTAAACAGTAACATATCTGAGAGCTGAAAAAACATAATGATTTAAACAGTGACTAATTGCTGAAAAGTAGTAGATAACACCAAATAATAATGATAATTCCAATAAACAATAAATAACATTACAACTATATTTACCTTTGATAGCTTCTCGACCACCGGCTAATGCTCCTAATGGAAGCATACCAGTTGGAGTAAGTCCTTTGAGTTCAAGTATAGTTTCACTCTCCTCTCTGAAAATAAAATACAACAATATTAATAAAAAGAATAATGTAATTTTGTTTTAAATAAATGACTATGAAGTAATACAATTCATTTATATACGATTATCACACAGTTGAATATCTGGACAGAATAGTAACAGTCAGTAATAACCTTGTGAAAATGTAAACTAGGGAAAAATGGAGAACATATAACTGCGACATACTAAAAACGGTATATTTGATGCAACCTATAATAAAAAGACAATTCAGTATAGAGGAGTATGTGTAGATTACATAATTTTCATAGTCACGAATTGATGTTAGTTAAACCGATATTGGAAACCAGGAAATACTGGACAGTTGCTATTTCATTTTAGTGTTAAAATTCTCAGAATTGCAAATCCATGATTTCACCACAAGGAATCAACACCACGACCTTCAGTTTCACAAGATATTACTTAACCTATAAGCCATTAAACCGCACCCCATGGTGTATATGTTTAACTTCAATAAATTTGCTGATGATTCTCATACTACGACGAAATAGCTGTACAGTTTTTTCCGGTTTTCACTGGTGGTGTAGATAAAGTCATTTCGTAATTTAAATTATGAAAAAGACAATTTGACAGTTCAATCTACATTTTCACTAATTGATAACCGAGTAGTAACAAATATTATCATCCTTATCAAGTGCCTATTGTTGATTAAATTTAATTGACTAAATTTTAATGCACCCACTAGCAACCGTAATTGCAATAGTCTTAAAGGAAGTGGTCAGTCACAGTGTACAAGAAGGCAATAAGCTCAAAGAATGTATATCTATTGTGAGAAGTGACAAGGTATTTACATAATACACATAAATAGTCTTCAGTAATCCATTCGCATTTTTTATTTTGCTCTGGAATCTGCAGTTTTCTCGTCGGAACTTCAGATATTATGCCAAAGGTGTGCTTTCACTGTACTAAAACAATTCACTCTTCATCCGACAACTTCGAGGCCACGTTCTGTAACATACTACTAACAGAAAATCTTGTGGGTTGTGTCCATTACATCAGCCCAAGCAGTTTAACAGGGCTGTCTCAAAGCTAGGCCATGCACGTTCTATTTGCATAAGGAGTATCAGTTCATGTCAGATTCCAGGTATACCCTGGTAAAAAGTGCTAACTAATACGAAACAAAAGTCAAACAGAACTTCCTGACAAACTAACATCCACCACCAAACATCCAATTATATATGTTAAAGAAAAAATTTAGATGACTGATGAGATGTCAAACAACTAATGAAATAAGTCACACTGAATTGAATAATTTATTAAAGTTATTTACCAAACAAGATATCAATCTAATCAAATAACAAATTGACTGACATCTAATCTTAAATACAAACAACGAGAGAAAAAGAAACACAGAAACAAATACAAACAATACAGAAAAAAAAGAGAAAAGATCATAACAAATTGTACACAATATTACTTTGCTATTCCTTTAAATTATATTTCATGTATATTCAGTTTAGTTTTTATGAAAACGTGTAAATATTATTGGAAATTTGTTACATATATTATTAGGGAAACTAACCTCAATACAGTGAATACACGGGCCATTTTACCAATTGCTCGAATTTTATTCCTGATAACATCTTTACGCGCTGTGATTTGTGCTGTGGTGAAGAAATGAAAATTAGGAAGAAATTACTTTTCATCCAAAAACAGGAATGAACAAACGTAAAGAAATATTTGAGGAGTGGCATCCTGGGAAAACCATTTGCTTAGGTTTGGGAGCCCAAACAGTATCCGAGCCCTCACACAAATTGAATGAGGAAGTGTGAAGTATATATATTTGGTGTCCCTTTTCGCTAACATGGTATGATTTAGATTAATAATAATCATAATAATAGCAGCGATTAAACAAGACAATTATTAATAGTTTCACTAGTTGAAATCATGAGTCAATTGAAGCTAGACCACCATGGAAAACCTGGAAGCACTGGACAGCCGTTTCGTCCTAGTGTGGGACTCCTCAGAAGTGCGTATCTACGATCCCCCGAGAGATTCGAACCTAGGACCTATTATTGATAAGTGTAATCAAGGAATAGTTTAGAACTGTTCTCCATTCATTCATAAGCTTCAAAATATCTGATAGTTGTTGAACGTAAATAAAAAAGATCGAAATTTCTAGCATCGATCTCTGTTAGATTCATGGATCCGTACAGCTAACGAAACAACTGTCCAATGCTTCCTAGTTATAGAGGTGAAATCAAACTATAATAGAAATTACGGAAGATTGTTCCATAAATGTCTTTATTTCTAATTTAATAGTTTTGAATGAATAATAACTGATCAGATATTTTTATTCAATCTGTACTGAAATTATAACTAAACGTAATGATGAATATGAAACGGTTTATTTTTACCTACTTCACAGTAAGAAACAGTCCTGTATTGATAAAAAACCTATTAAGATGATAATACATTTGCAGAAAAAATGTTTTTGGCATTACATTAAAAAAATATGTCCGAAATGAAATGAAACTTCAGAACAATACTAAATGTTCATGATCAATATGTGATAATAGAAAGGTATCGAATAATCCATTTGTATGGAGTCACATTAATTTCAATTAGTAATAATTAAGTTCAGTTTATAAAGAATAATCAAGGCAAGTAAGTCAGTTGATAAAATTATGAGGTATAATTGATGATTGAAGCAATCAATGAATAATGTATTTCATAGGTCAAATTATTGTCTAACATAATGTGCAATACTAAACGATAGGTGATCATAAACTTGAATTACATAAAATGTAGAATGTTGTTAGAATCTTGAAACAGATAACCAATGAAAACTGAGAAAGTATTTCGTTCTAGTATGGAAATCTTCGGTAGTTCACATCCAAGACCATATCAGATATTGGACCAAAGACCTTCAAGTCTCGCGGTGAGAGCTAGACCTCTAGGCTACCGAGCTATATGTCTAACTTCAATCAGTTCACGACATTTTGCACCCATCTTTCAATGCCATTGAATCCCACTGATCCCGATTCGTCAATAGAAATGATGTCATGTAATTCCTGATTTTCAATGGTTATCTAACTATGATCGATTCGTGATTTAAACTATGGAACTTAACAAATTTTTTAGACTAATATAAAACGTTTTAGCTTATTTTTATTAAAGAAACACTAAAAAATAGTGATAATCATATAAGGGATTGCGAATAGGTATCTTTTTGTTAGGACATAGTTTATTATGAAGATAAATAAATCAATAAACATATTGTATGTAAAAAATATGAAGAAGAAGAAACGGTTATATATAACTCTTTAAAATGTCCCAATCTAAAGACATGTAATTTAGAAAGAAAAGCAACTTACATCATCTACAGTGCAAATTGAAAAAAAAGACAACCAGCTAGCTAGTTTATAAAACATGTAATTGTTTCCCTTCATTCTGTCGGTTCTTTTTAACATTATTATTATTATTATTATTATTATTATTATTATTATGATCGATAGACAGACAAATTAATTTCGATCATTATATAACTTTTGTGATAATGCTTGGGTTAATTCATTTGATATCATACTAAACAACTGGCTATGATTTTAGATAGTGATGAGGTAAATAACTCAATTATGATCAGGTACAAATTTGGTATACGCTAGCATCAAGACATATTCTAAATATAAGAGTTAGTGATCACACTCGATTGTTAGTCCGAAATGGGTAAAATAAAATTTAAATCTTCAACTGTAATGACTGGAAGTTGAAGATAATAAGCACTGAACTCTATCACTGATTCACTAAAATGGAAGCAATTCTCAGATTATTTTGAATCTAGATTTTATGTTAGTTAGGATTCCCTCTCATCAGTGTTAATACTTCCTCTAGAATTTAAACACATAACAGTGTCAGTCATTACCACAGGGTTGTTTGGATCATAGTCGATAATATTCGGGAATCAGTACAGAAAGTTTGTGGAGATTATTGAATTTTGCTTTCACGCCACAGACTGGTTTCAGTTAGACAGGCATTAAAAAATCCAGGAAGTAATGGACAGTCTTTGTCTTATTATTAGACTCCTCTTAACAATATACACCCATAGCCTCACTAGGTGGTATCAAACCAGAGTTCCTTCAGAACTTGTGATTAGTATGTGAGCTTTAAAATGCTGAGTTGAGGTCTAATAGTTCACACTTCTAAATTCGATCAGATTGTGATACTGCGTGTCCATCTTCTAATGTCATTGATGGATAACTAGCCTACATCCGACATGTCAAAACTCCATTGGTTATAGTTTTTCAACAGAACTCCAACAATTTCTCCTTTAAATCACTCACTAATGACTAGATGACTATTATCAGCATAAACGGCTTACAGAGATAATTGAAGTTCGACACAACACCCGAGAGGTCCTAGAGATCAACTCTAAGTAGCTTTATGGATGCGAATTGATGAAGAGTATCATGTTTTAGAAATACACCTGTCCAATGTTTCGTGGTCTTCAAATGTTTAATTTTTTAAAAATGGTTAGTCTTTTCGGGAAAGTATTTTTATCAATAAACGTAACTGTTTCTAAGGTAAAATAATGATTTTAATTAGAATAAAGCTTTAGTTTGGATTGGAAATTAACCGAAGGTCAATAGACTACTAGTATACTTCTCTTTACTACAACTTATGCTACTAACATTATTCCTATATTGATTGATCCTTGAGTAACAAATATAGTTAATCAAAGAGAAAATTCCCGATTCAACAGGATTTCCGTCACATCCTTATATAACTTGATGTTCACGTATTTGACTGAAATAATGACCACCAAGCGCTGAAATTGCACAGACAGTATTAGGCTACAATCAAGATTAAAGATATCAAAGTTCGTTTAAGCATGAAACTTAAGGCTGTCATCTAACCATCAAGTAGTTCCTTAAAAATGTCTAAGTAGTGATCTCCGACTGACAAAATAAACAATATAGGTAATCCACTTAATATATATAAACTTACATTCATCTTCTGGTGTGTCCGATAGTAGTTCATCATCTGAACATATATTAAGTACATTGACCAACATTTCGGTAACTAAATAATACAATTTAATAAATAAGCGAAAAATAGTAATTAGCCAAAGATCTCAGTTACTTGAAGAAAAAAAGCGGTAACAACAGAGTTAGTAGTTCTATTAACTTAATTTATATGAAAATAGTTTTTAATAATCTAATGACAAAGAGAATTTACAGGTCAAGTGGATTAATAATATTTTTAGTGATGTATTCTCTGAGTTAAATGACATAATTGAGATTTCTTTATTTAGACGGTAAATCATGGACATGGATCGAAGGAACTCTAGGAATCCCAGAGAATTTCTACAAACCAGATAACCAGATCAATTGGCAATCAAAAGATACCACAACAAAAATCCAGTCTATCAATCCATAAGGAAGGGGTTAATCGATTAAATAGTTAGAGATCGATCTAAAAGGATCATCAACAGGAATCTGGTATGATGAGCCAATCAGAAGTATCTAAACAAGAGGGTCACTCGATAACAAACAGAAATGACCTGAGGGGCAAACGCATATCATTGGCTAGGAAATGAATTGATTTTCTAAGGGGTAGAAAAAAGATATATACATATTATATTCGGTAGCTAAATAGACTTTCTCTTGTACTCTTGATATATCGTTCAGCTAGTCAGTTAACGTGTAGCACGTTGTGTATTAGTATTAGATCTCGGACACCGCCCATCAAAACAAAATTCAAAAACAAATAAAGGACAACTAATCACAGACAAGATAATCAGAATGAACTGAAAAGCTCATTTCTCTGTTAAAAAGAAGCTGATGGTGTCTTCTAGAAGACAACCAAAACTTTAAAATCATATCACCCAGCTAAGAGAAAGCAACGCGATCAAGAGTTTGCATTACGAAGTTTATTTATTTAAACACATAAACATTAGTACAAGGAGGCATCAAATAAGTATGCGCCACATAAATCATTCGATTTGTGTGAGGCCTAGAATACTGCTCAGGTGCCCAAACCGAAGCAGGTAGTTTTCTTAGGGAACCACACCCCGAGCCTTTGACATAAAGGTTTAATCCATAAGGCAGTGGAGTAACGTACGGAGATGCAATTCCATGGTAGCTGGTGACCAATAATTGGTTCATACAGCATTTGTTTCTTTAAGATCCTGGAGCCCATGTACAATAAAAAGGGGTATCATATTATAAATAATTCATAGTAATCTAAAAATCCTAAACAATATGGATCGAACACATGTGTGAGCATGTTATTGTAGGTCCACGCACTGTCCAATAAATCCATACTACAACGAAATAACTGTTGAATCAGTGCTCGCTAGTTATTTTTTTTTATTTATCAAATGCTCTACTACATCGTGATACCAATTAAAAATGTGAAAATATTACTCGAAAAAATTTATAACCACAATATTTTGTAAAACAGACGAACAGTAGCTGGTAGTAAGATCAAAGAAACACATTTCTTCTCACATAGAACTCAACATTATTTTTTAACAACCAATTATTTTTAAGTGACAAACAATACAATGTTCAATGATGGCTTTTTTTTTAGAGATAAACGCTTATTCCAAAAGAGAACAAAACAATGTGAATTTCTCACAGTTCTTCATGAATAGAGATTTAATGTAATGAAATGATTAACACAAATTTGAGAGGTAAAATATGGTCATATGTAGAAATGAGAATCATAAACCTTGAGATGAAGAAAAACATTTACAAGACCCAAGTGCGAATTTTACAGATGCCTTTTTTCTCTGAGCTGTATAGTTTAGTAGTGTATATTGTTCTATCGAGGAAGTTTGCATTACGATGACATTCTCTCGTTTCCAAACAGTAAATGTATTACACAACTAAACTGTTTAGCTCAGAAAATAAAACATTTTAAAAATCCCAAACTTTTTTCATTTAATATTGAAACAAACGAAGTTCTATTAGAACAAGACTTTAGATAAAAAAAATCAAGATGATGTTCATTGATAATGATAAAGATTTTTACATTAAAACGAAACAAATATCACTGAAGTTTTAATTTATCATCTAGATATGTTCTTGAACTAAACAAACAATTCAGTTTAACATAAAGTTAGTGCTCACAGTCACATCATTATTAATGAATAAAATGGTGACTCAGCGGTTGAGGCGTTCAGTTTCAACTTCGTCTTACATATTTCAATCTGGGAAACCAGGTATGGTATGTGGTATAGCGACTCGAATTGATGTACGTACGTAAGAAGTTCTACGTTGTTTACTGACTGACTGGGCAACCAGGTGGTCTTATAAACCTTCCCAATCAGAGTTTATCTCATAGCTAAATACATAAATATGTAACTGGTAAATGAGTGTAGTCATAGTTTAGCTGTATTCTAGAAGTCATGACAGTCTTAAATTCAAAGGATTTGTAAAGGCTGTTCAAAGTTGAAAGTTATTTTACATTCTGAAACTTATAAACACAATTAAAGAATATTGAAGGACAGTCTTTTCAGTTTAGTGTTTTTACAACTCCAACACTTGAAAAGTATGCACCATTCAATGATCAACAAGGGCTTCAAAGTAAGATATTGATCCACTCATATCACGTTATCAACATGACATAATCATTGAACAACTAATAAGTCATAAAACAATTGTTCATATTGCAAATTTCAATTAATATTTACAATTTCTACATGAAGTAAGTTCTGATAATTTTATTGTCCAGAATGATAATGAAAGTTTTGGAACTGAACTATCCATCTCAGAGAACACAATGCAACCATGACCCCCCCTCCCCACCTATGCTACAAATATTCTCCAATTATTTCACAATAAAATACTTAACAGTGTGATATTTTACATCTGTCCCTCACTAACCAGAATAACTAGGTTAACAAATTTACTATAAATTACAGCAAATTATGAAATTATTGTAACATGACTGAATAATTTTATTCTTTTATTTTTTTTGGGAAAAACAAAACAATAAAAATTAATTCCTACTTGTAAAACCCAAAACAATATAACGTTTACATATTTATAATTGATATGTAGTTAGTTAGTAAACCTCTTTTTCCCTTAAAAAATAATGTACACACACTTGATATTTGTGTTCCATTTACTTCATCTCATCCATAAATCAGAAAAGCGAGAGAGGGAGAGAGAAAAAGGACGAGAAACAAAGAGTGAACAACTGAAAAAGGAAACACTTTAATTCTCATGTCAAAACGAGTTAAAATATTTACAACAATAACAAATTGAGCGGAAAAAACTGAATTCTCTGTTCATTATTAATAATGAATTAATTTATATTTTTAAATATCGTCACGAACACACACATACACAGAAGGAAAGTACACTGTGAGAAAGAAGTCGACAAAGATGAAGAACGCAAAAGTGAGCGTGAAAGGGAAAGAGTACTCATGTAGATAAATCACATAATCAGTAAGAAAATACATTGAGACACGCATATATATGGGTTGTATTTTCCCCTCACTTAATAAACACAACATACATTCTAATGTTACGAAGAAATATATCTCAGAGATGTTTTTTTTAAAAAAAAATACAGAGAAAATAACATTTGAAAAGCAATTGATAACAAGTAAGATATTGACGATGTAAATGTAAGCTGTCAAAGTGTAATAACAACGAAAACAATAACAAAACGCAATCCATCATCATCAGTTTATTTGTGTGTGTGTATCACCACCGAAGATAGGTGACCAATGGAAATAATGATGCATACAAATGAAAAAAAGGCAACAACAAGGAAAGCGAGGTGAACAAATGACGAGCGGCAAAAACATAACACGAACAGGATAATGACACAAGTAAAGAGACAACTATTCAGGAAAGAGTAGCAAACGAAGCTGAGAAAAAGGAAGATTAACCTTTGTTTGGGATTATTATTATTGTTATTACTATAATTATTATTATGTAACATAAACAAGTGGGATTAGTGTGAGTGGACTGAGTGAATGTGGTAAAAACATTTGGTCATCATCATCTCGACGACATCAATAGTGTGAAAATGATATTAGGCAAAATATGAACAGAATTTTGAAATTAATAGTATAAGCGCAGTTTCTAATTGTCTAGTCAAGAGAAAACACACATGCACACCAACATCATCCACCAATCCAGTCTCTACCAGTTGGAAAATAACAACAGTAGGAGATTGAGAACAACAAGAGACAGCCATGCAGTGTGTAAATGATAATGAGGAGATAAAGAGAAATAGAAAAGAGTATAGGATAAAATTTAGAGAGAGACGAAGTAGCAGATACGACTCCACTCTAATTTAGATTAACAAGTAACATAAATAAAATGGACTCAATGGTGAAAGGATGTTTGTTCCCAGTTATTTTTTTCCGAAAATAATTAAACAGTGTGCATAAACAAATCAATAATTGTTGATGATTATGACGCTGATTGTATGAAAGGGTTGGAATCGTCAAACTAAACATGATACCATATAAAGAGTAGAACGAAAAGATGGTGTTAGTGAAACTATCGACATATTAGGTACAGGGAAGAGGAAATAATGCGGGGTAGAATTATTAACTCTTCTAAATAAAACATTTTTTTAAATATGTAACTAACTGATCGACTTTTAGTACGGAACTTCAACCACCACTAAAGGACAACGATCTTCAAGTGTTCTTGATAAATGTATAGTTATATCACATGATTGAGTTATGCTATATTCAGACTGTAGAAAACCTGAATGGTGTCTAGTCATCCTGAAAACTAATGTAAAAATACCCTCTTAAAGGCTGTGCCTATAATCATCTAAAGACTAACATAGATCGTTTGATCTTTTAACGTTATTCCTAAAGACTGGATGAGTTTGTTCTTTATATATGACCATTAGTTTAAGAAACATTAAAACCTTGGCATATTTATATATATAGGGCTGTGGAGATTATTGAATTTTACAAGTGCACAGTGCAAACAGACCTCGACTAGAAAAAAACAATGAAAATCAAGAATCACTGGGCAGTAGTTTCGTGCGAATATAGATTCGTCAACAATGCGCATTTATAAAGTCACCAGAAATATAAA